CATGTGCATGCGTGATTTTACATTTTGGATTAAAGCTTTCCCTTTTCAAAAAGCACCTGGGGTTGTGGATCTCTGTCGCCCTACTACGGGTAAAAATAAATAGTATAAAAATAAATGTTATAATTAAAGCATTTGGGGAGCTTAATCTACAACACTCATTTCAATAGTCGACGCGATATTTGTTTGAATCAAGAATATGCAAAAGTACTATGACTCTTGTGTTATAAATGATTATTATTTAGTCCAAAACTGTGACGAATCGAAGACGCTGCAAAGTCAGTGTGATCATTCACTGAGGAAGTAAACAGCTCTGCAGAAGAAGCGGATATTTTTCTCCTAAGCTTCATTAACAATATAATCATTATCGCAGGATGCATGTTAAACGTACATGTTTTCCTCGGTGTGTGTATTTGTTACCGTGTGGACTGAGTATAGTACTTATCCTACGTTAGTTTGGGATTTCTCGTTCTTTTACGCGTGCTTTCATTGTCCAAACCCAGGTACAGTATTTTTTACTGCTTGCACTTTTTTTTCAATCACTGCGCGTTCATGTAAAACTGAGATTTTAGTTAGTAGTCTTATAACTACTCTAAAACTGTCATGGCAGACAATGCTAGTATTGATTCCAACATCATGTATGGGAGGCTGCCCTGCATGTATGTCTGCAAGTGTTTAAGGGCTTTATCTTATTCCTCTTTCTCTCTGCGTCCCAAGGTCAGTCACCTGAGTGTACACTACTCAGTATTTACTATTAGCTTTTTACTTTAGTCACCCTGTGAACTGGGGTTGCATTTGCTTCTGGCAGTGAACGTAGTCCCCTTTAACCCATGTGCGTGATACCAAGAACAGCAGCATAGGTTATCCTTTGTATTCCTCACGCATTCTCTGGTAAATTTGATCTACTGCTAAATATTAGTTACTTGATTGTCTTGTTTTTTGGTAACAGGTTGAAACATAATGGTGGACTTTTTAGCTGAAACACATCCTGTGTGGGGCATGGCCATCCTCAGGATTGTGTCCAGGGAAATGCCATTCATTTGGCAGAAACTTCTTTCGACTTTCTGACACTTCATTCCCACCAGTTTTCCGGCTCAAAGACAAATAAGTGACCAACAAACATATGGAGGACATCATTGGTAGATTTTAGTTACTTCAAGGTAAATGTAAAAGCACACACTTATTTCCGTCTGGTGATTTTAAAATACGGTGTCCTGAATTCGTCCAGGGCCACGAGATACTTACGAGGGAAGCTTGAAGCCACAACCGAGGCTCCAGGATCTGGGATGAAGAGTTTAGAGAAAATATATATTGAACTTTTGTCAAGATTCTACTCTGGCATTTGAAAGTGTCCATAAATACATTGTTGATCTGAATAGGTAAAAACTGGTTTTTGGTATTTGGTCTTTTTGTTCTAGCTGGTCAAACACAAAAACTCTTACTTTTTCACCGCTTTGCAGGTATTTGGATGACCTACTTGAAGGTGTATATATTCAGCAGACCCTTGAGACTGTACTACTCAATTGAAGGACGTGCAAACAACTCTTGGAGAGAATAATTGTCTTGAAATAATTAGTGCACAGTATTTTTATTTGTTAAATTACCAATAGGGAGTTTGTTTAGTGTGAAGCACTTCTACCTCTATGGAGTCATGTTGCTTGTAAGATTGACCAGAAGAGTGAAGGAGAGGTCAGAGAGAGGATGCTCGTTTCTACTGATAGATACAGGAACTTTGGTGGTGCACACACACTTCACACTAGTTTGTTCTATAACCACTTATAGTGTTTTAGGGCTGGGGCAGTATGCAACCATGATTTCATTACCCCTTTAGACATTATGATTTTTAAATCGATTTTGTGACCAAAGGTACTGACCTGTTCAATTCAAAATTCCCAATACATTTTTAATTCGTCAATGAAAGTTCTTTGTAGGCCTACCTATATTCTTGCCATACACGACCAGAGGCCCAATTAGCAGAGGCCAGAAGAAGAAACACAATTTCTCAATTTTCACATGGTCGAATAATCAAATTAATTTTATATTTTGCCCAGCTCATATCTTGTTGAAAGCTACATGTTACAACATTACATGTAGTAGCTATAAGCATTTAGCATGTGAAAAATGTAATCCTTGTTACGCTCTGTTAGAGAATACTTCATTTTAGTTCTCTTCGGGGACTAATACATCTGCACACTAACATACTTTTCTGTGTTTGTCAGGGCTGCCCGTTCATCAGCGGACTCCAACTTGGATGATATCTGTAATTTGCTACTGAAGCACAGGTTGTTATTGTTTTTTTTTTACTTTTTTTTTTCTTTTTGCATTGTTTTTTTCCCCCCCCCCCCCCCCCCCCCCCCCCCCCCCCCCCCCCCCCCCCCCCCCCCCCCCCCTTGTAGTTTTTTTTGTATTTTTTTTTTTTTTTTTGTGTTCTGATCTCTTTCTTTGTGTGTTTATATAATAATTGTCGAGTCAACAGGAGCGAAGCGGACGGCAAAAACTACCAGAGTGCTACTTTCAGAGGGTTCCCTCCAGCAACCACGTTTATCAGCATGGTGATCGGAAGGCTGCGGCTCTGATGACATCTATAATCAGCGTACACAGTGGACTTACTTCTTATGTTTTCTATTTGATAAAAAATCTCTATCCAATCATTTTATAACGTTTAATTATCTTCTCTTTTGATTTAAGATCCTTGGTTTTTAGTGCTCCTGTATTTATATAGCCTGGCCTTAGCCATCCGTAAAGTCCGGTCAATTTTTAAATCCTAATTGTACGTCTGGGTCTGATCTTAGTGGCTGCAGTTTACCTCGGTTGTATCCAAATCCCCCCCAACCTCCGACCAATCAGCGAGCGGGGGAGGCGTGTAGGTAGGCATCGGTGACGTCAAGAGTTTGCACCGAATTGCTGGTTGTAGTTTGGAAATGGTGGTGAATGCAATCGTAAAGGTATACGTTCTGGTTCTCCTCCCAACTATTAAGAAATTGAAGCCAGCGCAAGAAGAATAGTTTAGCAGTATTTCATTGCTGGCAAAGATCTGTTGTGGCTTCTACTCCCCACGGGCTCCGTTAGTGGGAAAGGAGATGGCTAGGTGTAAATGGCTAAATGCCTCACTTGCATTACATCATGTCACCACCAATCAACGTTAAGTTGACCCAATCAATGTTTCAAACGAAGATCCTATCGTTTCAATCCGCCAACAGGAGTTACACCCCCTCCCGACTGTTTACAAAGCTCAATTGAGCAAATCCTGACCTTTGCACAAAATGGAAATAAAAGTACGATGATACGGTGAGACCAGGCTAGTAATCATACTCTCTTTGTAACCGTGAATTGCAACTCTGAATTGATTCTCATTTGCAAGACAAATAAAGGAGACTAATTAAAAAGACATATGATACGTTATCACACTCCCTGTGTGCTACTGATTTGGGTCTTCAGGTTTCTGCCTATCCACTCCCAGAACATCGCAGCACAGCTCTGGCCAACCAGGCAGCCATTGCACTTTATGTGTGCCCTTTACTTCAGCCCCTCCATACTCTCACACACAACAGGCCACGATGAGGGGAAATTGTGTTTTTTTTTAGACAAGTATTTTCCTGACAATTGGGTACGAATTATTGTGTTTTTTCATAATTATTTGTAGATATAAAAATAAACAGTTTTATATTATTATATATACTATATATATAGATATATATATATAAAATGTGTGTATATATAGATAATGGAAATAATATAATCTTACCCATTAATTTTCTTGCAACATTGCTTAGTTTTATACACGGCTGTTTTGTTTCTCCAGGTGCTCAGTATATACATGGGGAATCACAGTCCAATCTGGTGTGAAGCTTGGGAACCTTATAAAGCTGCTTAAAACTGGCCTTAAATAACACTCCTGCGACTCCGCCAACACTAAAGAAACAGGTTTGTATGCTTTTAAGGCTAATGTAATTAGTCGTCCCACCCATGGACTTAGATCTCTGTTTGCGCGAAGCCAAAACAACGAACATAATGGAATTTATTCTTTTTAATTATGTTGAATATTAATATACCATTCTTTAATGCACATACAACATTGTGGGGCTGCGTGACTGGCTCAAAAACAATACACGAATCTAAGTAGTCCCATGATCAGACCTGTTTGAAGAAGGGCCAGTACTGAATAACAATAACAATGTCGCATGTCTTGATAAAGGCCACTCGATTATCGCAGGCCAGCAAGTCGACTATGCCTATGAGGCCACACTAGTGTTTTTTTTTCTGTTTTTTTTTTTTTTTTTTTTTTTTCCGCAGGCTGCTAAAGGATCGGCTTACTGCGGGAGGAGATCATCCTGGACAAACATCCCCAACACTGCTCAACTGTTTACGGGACTGTAATGTGGCCCATCCCGCTGGCTCATGCTTACACTCTGCTGAGTGCAGGTAAACATGGTCCCACTTAAGAAGGATAACGAAAAGAATGTATTTTGTTTTTTCACCGTGTATGTTTTCATTCAATCAAATTCAGCCTACGACCCCAAACATAACACAGCGGACTTCGCAACTAGATAAAAGATCACGTACGGACTTGCCATCTTCAAGTACAATCCAAAGATTCCTCATTCCCAACTGCTCCTGGTATCTAGCACAGTTTGAGTTCACACTGAAAGAGGCAAGTTTTTTTTTTTGCTCTGTGCAATGATTAATGGCCAGCTGGTGAATCTGAAACTGTTATGAACTACTGACGTTTTCTATCAAACATTGTAGTCATAATTTGTCATAATAAATAAACGTAACGCCACTTCATCATTTTTCTCCAAAGCGGTTCTACAGAGGATATACATGCTCACACAATGGAACGATTACGTGGAGGCATTTGATATTAGCGTGTGTTTATACAGCATATGGCTAGCGAATTTATCATATAAGCGGGACACCAAATTAATAGTTCTCATTAGCCATTCAACTCCTTCCCTCACTTGATTCAGCCAGCTGTGTGGCTCCTCTTCCAGCTGTTCAAGCAGATGCTCTCAGAGACGCAGCTCAAATGGGAGGAGCCTACAAAAAGGAAAGGAAAATTCGGGACAAGAAATGACGGAGGCTGGCCGACGTCTTCTCCAGGGGTCCAAGCCTCTGACGCGGGTGGAGAACCACCGGTTGGTGGCATAATCACAATCCATAAATGAATGTCCAAATCATATGGCTGTTTTTCATGGCTCCATTTTGATCTATAAGTTTAAAAGACATAAAGCTTGTGCCACGCCCTCTTATTCCTTTCACAGAGAACTTGCAAGCATTGGTTCAGATGACAAATCTCCAAACAAATTGAATCCCTTTAACACTATGAGGCCTCCACAGCCGCTGGAAGGAAAAACAGTGCACCTCCTACAGGCTCTTGTTGAGGTTAGCCTCACCACGGACCTGTTTGAACATGCTCCAAAATTGCATGTTTATCGGGTTGCTATCTTCTCCTCGAGAGCTACAAATACCACAATCGGCACGGACGAATATGGAAAACAAACCAGACCATAAACAGGCTAATGGCTAGATGTAATAAGAACGTAGATGAGGTGATTGGTCCTTAAACCAGGGAACCGTGGCTGTTGATGGCTTGTACAACACTGGAGGCGATAAAGACAACCCAGGAACATTGCATTTGATTAGATTGAATTATATTACCCTGAACTTCGTTGCACAGATTGACGGGTGCTCTAACTGCATGCAATACGCATCAGGAATGAATGGAGCTCATCATCAAACCGCATTAGAACGTCCATTCATTCTGTTGTCACTAACCGTGTTTTCCTGTTGTTAAGGTCCAGGAGTTTCATCAGCTGAGTCTAACCTGCAGTTTGCAATCTGCCGACACCACGAAAATTCTTACATCAATGATTGCACATCAACATAAGGAGAGGTCCTCATCACGATGCAGTTGTCGGCGATCGTCATACGCTTGGCTGATAATCGACAGGGTTGTTCCAGTTTAGAAGTGGAATATAAGCCTTAGATAAAATGGATGGATTACTGTTCGCAACGTGATCAAATAATAGTTATTATTTTTTGTATTTTTGCTTCACAGCTATTATGCAAGAAAGCATCAGAGCTTACCCTTCTATGGTTACTAAACTGAGGCAACTTTCTTAAGGTATGTTTTCAATCGTAATCATACCATAATTCAGTTTGGTTTCTTGGTAAATTTCCCACCCTTGGTTCCCTGTTTCCTAGCTTGACATCTGCCTTGGATCTTCCCTTATTAAGATACAACCAGGCCAACATGTGCTGACCTCCTCAGTGTCTGCAACAATTTTATTCTGGAGAGCTCGTGGCCTACGTCAGAAAGGTTACTGGTGCAAACTTTGGGTTACAGTTTGCATTGACTACTTATGGATGAAATGAGCTTTCTAGCTAAATCGTGCTATAATTGTTCACATATATGTCATAATGTGCATTTTTCTTTATAGAAAATATTGCGGCAACATTTTAAATATGTATAACATGTATATAAACGATCAAATTAAGTCGTTTTTATCTTTCCCCACAAATCTATAGTAGTTTGAGTTTGCGACGGACTAACTGTTTCAGGTTAGATAAAGTGTGAAAGAACTGTTTCTTATAAAGCTTTCTTTAGTCCATTTTTGCTTTTCAAAGAATTCAAATGATATTGAAGTCTTTGACGGCCACTCAATTGGTTTGTTGTGAGTAATTGTGTAGCTCCCTAATAATACATTAATGTAAATGTTCTCAGATATGAAGATTTAAGGTTATGGTGGGCAGTATGTGTGCTCCTGCTCTGGTTGGATCTAAAAAACCTGCCAAGCCTCACCGGTGCTTTACAGAAACCAGTTGGACACCCCTTGCCTGTAGGAGTCCTTTCCAGAAGTTTGCTTATTTTTGTTGCCAGGTTTTGCAGTTATCCAGAGAGTATGTTCACCTCCTGGCCAAAATCATCAAGCTCAGATTCACGAATCATGGAGGTCCCCACACGCCTCGATAGAGGACAGCTGAAGGGACTATTCACAGCTTGGCGCGCGCGTTTTAGGAGGTCATTCTAAATATTTATGCAGCTTCTTTCTCCGTGGGAAGAAAAGGATTTGATTTGAAAGGGAGTCAGAAATCCTAAGTGCTGAACAATAATCAAAGGTAAATTGTGTGATGTTCGGTCTACGCAAATATATTCAGATGATGCATAGCAATTGTGGTGAACTACTTATGATCGTGTTCTCATTTCTCTTCAAAGTAAAAGTAATGAAGATTGTTTTGTTTTGATGTTATAATCTAATTATGTGAAAGTACAATAATAATGACTGACAGTGTGATGTGAAATGTGTTTTTTCAGTGCATAAACTCACATGAGATCTCCCATTTTTTCTGAGGGAATGATGATGAAAAACTACTTTAGTTGGGATCATAAAGTTTGTTTTATAATTCACTGGGCATGAAAACAGACCGACAGTCTGCTCTAGGTACTGTTAGAGCTGCATTAACAGTTTTTTATTTTCATCAGTATGAAAGCTAGTCATGCAGCACAGGGAAAAATGACTAAGCATTCAGGTTCAGAAGGGTTCATGCCAAGTGCGCTGGGCACAGGGGGATCAGGCTCCATGTGTCAGGGAGGCAGATACCCTCGGGTATCTGTGTCACAGGTGTGGAGAATGGGGGGTAGTGTGGGAACAGGGGGTATGGAACGGACTCTTATCGAGTTATCATCTCTGTGGCCAGCTCTATGGTATAGAAGTGGCAACCCACAACATCATCAAGTTATTTCAATGTTGGAATTTATATGTATTTTCTGTGATTAGTTAAGATAACATGTATTTCTAAGCAATATTCTTATTACTTTTCTCTGTTTAGGTGGACACAAAGCAACTTTTAGAGGATTGGCATCAGAATGGAGCTGTAAAAAGATGTGGCTTATGCTCTGCAAAAAGGGATGATTTTCAACCGAAAGCAAAAAAAAAAAAAAAAGAAAAGGTTTCACATAATTCAAGGGATTTGGGCTTCCGATCTGTTGACTTTTAAGACTCATCTTCCATCCTCCTAATCTTGCAAGCCCAGTGAGTTAATGCCCAAGTTAAAGGAGATGGCTGCTAATTATGGATGGCTCTCTACCGGTCGTTTGAATACATCCCCCCCCCTGGACTATTGTCACATATATGGGCTCAAAATTTGGCAAGAAGAGGTGTCCCGGATCATCAATTACAACGTGGAACAAGAATGCAACAGCTTCCTCAGGACCACGGTCAGACTTTGAACACTAATGCATGCGTTTAGCTCTCAGGGGCGCACCTCAAAATAGTGCACTACAATCTAGTCCATCTTTGTGAAAATCAATAGGACACGCTCTGGTTGCTGCCCTGTTCATTTCGCAGACGCTGATAGATTCTTCCTCTCTTACTTTCAGATCCAGGGACTGGCAGAGTGTATATCAGTCGAGCCACATCCCCATCCCACACTTTCCCCTGCGTGGATGAATCAGCCACTTTTATTGGCCGCCTCTGCAGAGAGATCCTCAGAATAACTGATCCCAAGTACGACAGATACACATAACATAACATGGGCGGCACGGTGGCCTGAGTGGATAGCACTCTCGCCCTCTCAGCAAGAAGGTCCTGGGTTCGAATCCCGGTTGGACCAGGGCCTTTCCTGAGTGGAGTTTGCATGTTCCTCCCCGCGTCTGCGTAGGCTTCCACTAAAAATATGTACAATAGGTCTGGCATGTGCCTCCTGTACTGGCACCCCCACTCCCAAAAATAACAATTGTAAACCGCTTTGAGACTCCGATGTGCAGTGAAAAGGCGGTGTATATATAAATAAAGATTACTTACATAAGATGACGTGTAATTGCTCAATATTTTATTAATCATTTCTCAATTTCAAATGTTTTTCAAGGGTAACGTGCTACATGGAACAGATGAACACACTGGTATGACCTGAAGAGCCACCAGGAAGTGACCAATAACAGACTGTTCTCAGAGATCCAAAATACACTAGGCACCTTCGGACTCAACGGGCTAGCCGCCTGCTCTGCTTCATGATTGTAAAAGAGTTGCAGGTGATTTTATGTGTATTATTGCATGTATTAATGTATCTACATATATATTCAGGCTGACTACATTCATTTTACTTGTTATTTGTTTTTTTCACCATCGACAGAACTTCCTGTTGTTGCTTCAGAAAACAATCTCTCAAGGACAAAACTGTGGTAGAAGTATTCAGAGTGATGCAGGGGACTGTAAACCCAGTTAAGGGCATTTGTTGGTGTGTACCTGTCTGTTAAAGCTGTATGTTGTTATTTTCCATTATAAATATGTTTTGTTCATTACTTATCTCTGAAAGGTAATGCCAGCAACGTTTATGCCAATGCAGTTGCCAAAACTCAGAAAATCTGGGGTCCATATCAGGAAGCCATTTGAAGGTATACAGTGTTGTTTAACCTGGACATTTGCAGTTTGTGTCGATCTAATTAAGAAGTAATTTTTCTTGTGAAATCTAGTATTTAAATTCATGAATTATTCTTAATTTGTGGGAAAGTAAGCTTTAGTCCGAACAACTACTATGAATAGTTGAGTCCAGTTGACAAATACATTTGAAATAATATTTAACTTAAACTAAATCTAAATAATTTGCTAAATATGTCCTCTGACTCTTCCACTAAGTGCGATGTTGACCACTTCACAGTGAATGACAATATTGCAGACAGTGAAATGCATTTTACTTTATTTACTTGTTTACAGGTCGGTCAGATGCAGATTCTTAGACAGCAAATTGCAAATGAGTTAAACTACTCATGCAAATTTGACTCTAAACACCTGGCCGCTGCCTTGGAAAACCTCAACAAGTTAGTTTATAATGGTTTACCACATTGTATTTAAAATCTGTTATTATTTTTTACCACAATTGGTTTTCTATTTGATTTTTGCAGGTCGCTACTAGCTGACATTGAAGCTCATTACCAGGACCCATCTCTGCCCTATCCAAAGACAACACTTTGCTTTATGAGATTACAGCCTATCTAGAGGCTGCTGGAATTCACAACCCGCTCAATAAAGTATTGTCGTTATTACTGACAAAATGTACTCTCATGTAGTTGGTCCTAAAATATTTTTGCAATCTGGTTACAGATCTACATCACCACAAAGCGCCTGTCTTACTTTCCAATTATAAACTTCTTATTCGTTATCAGTCAGCTGCAAAGCTTCAGTACAACAAAAACCAAGGTGTGTTTTGTTTGTTTCTTTTTTTTATTACATTAAATTGCCAATACAGAATCACAAGTAAAGTTCTGTTTCTGCTCAGGGATGACATGCAAAAAAGTTGCAGATTCTGTCGACTGGGTCCCCCTGGTTCTTGGGCTGCTCACTCTTCTCAAACAGTTTCACTCAAGATACACGCAGCAGTTCTTGGCTCTCATTGGACAATTTATACGTTCCATTATGGCGCAGTGCACAAGGTAAAGCTTTCGCTGAGTGAAATGGGTTCCCTTTTTTTTCAGAGCAAGCAACTAGATAGGTGGATTATATTACAGTTGATTTCTGTGTATGTTTTGATCACGTTATCTCCAAATTTTAGAAATGCTTTTTTGTGTATTAATAGTCGATGATTCCTGACATGCCTTCGGATGTGGTGGGAGCTCTGATGTTCTTGGAGGACTATGTGGGGGGGGGGGAGTATACAAAACTCTCTCGCAAGGTAATTTTATTCTATTTTTATTTTATTCTGTTTTAATTGTATTTGATCTATATGTGATTATTTTTCTCCCCAGGTGGCTGAAGCACATGTACCCAGTTTCATCTTTGACGAGTTTAGAACTATCTGTGAATATGTCATTAAATACATCTCTATTAACTGATCATTAATAATGTTCCTGCTAACAAATGTATCATCTCCATTGCACTTAACATCGTACATAGAACATTCCTTTGTATTCATGTGCCAAAATGACACTATTGTAGCCTCATTATCAAATAATAAAATAGTTTTCTGTGTTTTATCCATGAATGTATTGGTTTTATTCTAGAAAAAGTTTTACTCTTATTTTGAAATACAATCTTAACCGGAAATGACGCAACATCTCGTGCGACGCGGGCATAATCAGTTTGTTGATGTTAGCATAGATCGAAAGTGTGTCGAACTTGTGTAATAAGGGCAGACATTACTCTATAGTACTTCAGGTACTAATATGTCTTAAGTGCTGTTCGCTGGGACACTGTCCAGTTGGGGACAGTGTCAAAACGACTATAAAGACAGCGATGGACATAGTGACAGATGTGGCGATGAGACCTCACGGAAACTAGGGTAAAGAAACGTTTAAATTTATTGATCATAGAGATTAAATTTTATTCTGTGAATGTATCAACTGCTTACCGTCATGCTGGTAATTGCATGTTTCAGTTAACTTAGTTGGTTTATAAACAGTTAAAGGTATATTATAAATACGAAAGAGAACTGTGATTATCATTGTTGCCCATTTGAAACATATTGTTGTACAAAGTTTTTAACTCTACCAAATAATTTCCAAACTGTACAAATGTCTTAATTTTTATTAGTTTTTGTTTCAGTTTTTTGCGTTCATACTGT